TGCAGAGTGTGTGGCCTTCACGGTGGGCTGGTGCCGGGAAGGGAGATGATCCACAGGGAAACAGAGACATGCTGGGATCAGATGGGATGGATATGCTCTCCAGAACTGTTTCTTTTGGCATCTTGCACTRAGTTGTGGTGCTGACGCAGGGATTTATACTGTGAATAAAGTACAAATGGAGGAGAGCTACGTGGTCACTCTCTCTCCCACTTTCAGGCTCTCTACCGATCTCAGGAGCATGCACAGAACTTGAAAAAAGTGTGAGAGCAGCCATATATTCCCTGTGGGATCTCCAGAGCCACATTCTTCCCCACAAGATGAGAAAGTGTCCCAAAGAGACCCAGCAGCAGAAAATTTCTKCTACCAGCTCAGCAGAGACCCTGCTGGAGCAGAGAGCTGCCTGCCCTGCCTTACACAGAGCTCTTGTCAGTCATCTCTTGTGGGCACTCACTCGAGGATACCTCCTCCCTCCTTGTCTCTAACCAAGGGAATAGGGTCCAACTTCCCCTTCTTCCTCCTGGGATGCTCCCAGTTCTGCAGCCACACTGGAAAAGAGCAGAACAGGAGCTCCAGAGGAAGAAAAAGCTCCCAATCCATYAGGGATTTCTGCAGCATTGGCTGGCTGCTGCCAGGCTGTTCTGTCTGTGGCACATCCACACCAGCTAAAGTGGAATCCTGGAATAAATGAGTCCCCTGGAAACCCCAGGCAATGGGGAGATGACTGCCCAGTGAGCTGTGCAGCATCCTGCCTACACAGGGTACTTTCYGTAGTGATAACGCTACAAAGGAATATTTATTTATCTATATACCTATTCAGCTTTCATCTCTGTCAGCATTTCTCAATCAGCCATTTCAAAATGTTTTGCCAATGCTAATTAACCCCTGCAGCACCTCTGTGGAAGGGATCAGCATCCCTGTGCACCAACAGGGGCACTGAATGGAGAAGACATTTATACTAAAAAAACGAAGGGAGCAAAGGAATTGTAGTATCTCAAAATCCCAATCCTGTGTCCTGACAAAATCACAAATCCCCAAACCTCAGACATTCTGTTGGAAGGACAAGCAGCCACCTGCCATTCTTACCACGTCAACTGCTCGGCTTTCTCAGCTCGGTACCAAGGAAACACTGCCCAAACATTTAATAATCCCAAAACCTGGGGTGCCTCCTCCTTTCCCTGAGGAGCTGCAGGCCTGGTCAGCTGCACAGCCTGTGCCAACAGGCAGATTTTCCCATGATGTTGCACATGCCATTTATTCCATTCATTAACCAMGTTAATGGTGGCTAAGAATAGAACCCAGATGTCCTTCTGGCCTTAAAAACTTCTTTGCCCTCAAGGAAATGCAAAGCCTTGAGGTGGCTCATGGCATATGTGGGACACAAGTAAGGAACCCAAGCTATGAAGAGCCTGCACATTTCCAAGAATTCACAAAATACATCTCTGCTTTTAAATAACCTCTGTTCAGCTTCTGGGAAATAAGTGGTTAGCAAGGATAGTTCAGAACAGAACAAGGGATATACAAATGTTTAATTCATTGATATCAGGATTGTGCCAGACAGAGCCAGAGCTGTTCAAATGTCTTCAGTTTCTGTTATCTATTTTTGTGATGTTTCCACTGTGACAAATTCGCAATTCTGTAATAAAATGGTGTTTCTGAACCAAGACCATTTCATAATATTCCTTTAGAAAAAAATGCATCTTCAGTACAATTTATTTCTGATTTTTTTTTTTTTTTTTGGTAATAGAAATTATTCTGTAGTGTCATTTTTTTATACATACTCTTCAATACCTTTGGGAAATTTCCCAAAACATACTAAAGATAGCACTATGGTTTTCTGCATCATTGCTAAAAATCAAAGCATTCATGTGCAGAATAAAGAAAAATTTCTTTCTGTATAAGCATTTTTCTTCTGCTGCCTGAATCCAGTCTCTTGATAATCAGCAATTACAGAAAAGAATTGTAACAATCAAATGGSAGTTTGCACTTACAGAAATTCATGCTATTTATTGTATGAGTTATTCAGACAGACAAAGCTTTTTGGAAATCTATCAGTAAATGAAAGAAACTGYTATTTCTGAAAACTGAAATGGTATTAATAGAGATTCTAAAGGGTCCAAAGAAGAGCATGATCMATTTGGAACCAATATGGTCTTCTCAGAAACAGAAAAGGGTGAATAAGGGGATTTAAGGATCTTTTCCTCTATGAAAACACATTGCTTTCTACCAAMTGATATTTTATCAAATCCTCTTTAGAATGATATGGTATTTCAGAAGGTGATATTTGGCATTCCATAGATTTACTGACTTGGGGAACCCCCAGTAAATGGCAGTTTGTTCACCCATACCACACATAATCTCCAAAATGTGACTATCCACAGTTTACAAAGCAACAGACCAAGGCAGAGATTAGGAAATGATGAATTATGGTCATTCCACAAACAGGGGCTCCAGCTCCCATTTCCTCAACCCCCTGCTYACAGACATGGGGTTAAACACCCAATTCCCAGGGGGGAATGAAATAATGAACAGAGAACCCAGCAAGTCAGGGAGACGTCTCACAGCAGAGCAGTTTTGTCCCTTTTTGAACATTCGAGCCCGCATCTCCCTGGAGCCTCGGCGAGCTGCGGGCTCGGGGCACTGAGCCGGGCACCGCGGGCGTGTCSGGGGCCGGACGGGGCTGGCAGCAGCCTGGGCATGTGCCAATTGTCCCCGGAGCCACTGCCCTGCTCGATCCCTCCCAACAGAAGCCACTGGTTCCATGCGCGCTCCCGCCTGGCAACGGGAGCGCGCGTCTCCATGGCAGCGCAAACAGAGGCGGCTGCGCCCCGGCCGGACCCCGCTCCCAGCGACATCCCGACAGACACCCGACAGACAGACATCCCGACAGAAATCCCCACCGACAGCCCGGCCACAGCAGCCCGCGGGAGCCTTCGGGTGAGACACCAAAAAACAGGGGTGAGGAGGGCCCCAGAGAACTCTGCCGGGGACAGATGTGTGACATCTGCTCTGGGAAGAGGGTGGATGGATTTACTGCAAGAATTTTTAGAACTGTCTGTATCTTTACTTTGACTTCTTTCTTTTATTTTTTTTTTTCCCCTCAGCAGCTTGATGCTAGGGGAAAGCACTGAATAAAGGTTTCAGTGACTTAAAACCACGAATGCCTTATCTACTGATTCACATTCTACTGGTATGCAGCTACTGGAACATAATGTCAGAGGCGGTGAAATACATGCCAAATGATTCTAGCAATGAAGCATTTTTGTATTTGCATTATTGAGCTTAATAATCGTAATTAGCAGTGCTAGTGCTTCTGTAGCTTCTGGCATTATTTCCAAAGTGCTGTGCAAACAACCTATTAAAAAACTCAGCAACCTCAAACAAAAAACACCATAATAAAATGAATATTCATAAGTTAATCATAGATACAGTTACCTATACTTAGCTAAAATTATATTAGAAAGAATTTTTTTTATCTCTGAGAGTTGCATTGACAATTATTTTCCATATGCCAGTGTCTAGTCCTGCTTTTCCAATTAATTGCCTGTAGGAGGAATTTAAATCAACCACAGGAACAAGAAAATTCTTAATGAGAAAGGTTTTAGATTACAGAAATCAAGGTGTGCACTGAGGRCTGGAGCTCCAGGTGTTTGCTGAAACTGCTCTGTGAGGTTCATAAACTTTATTGAGGCATTTGACTGCCTGCCCACCCCTGCCCTGATGGGGCTTTCTCCAAAACTCACATCAGCAGCAGGGGTGATGTTGTTCCAGGACATAGATGAGACACCCCTAGAGAAAAACATCCCCTGACATCAAGCAAAGTTCAGAGAGGTTTGAAATCTAAGTAACCAGTCAAGGAGTCCCTGGGTAAAAGGCACCTCAAAAACTGAAAAGGAGAGAGAAAACATTTGGGATACACTCAAACAACCTAAATTCTATCTCAGCCTCTGTGTCTCATCAGCAATGGAAGTTTGACATCTCCAAAGAATAAGATACTGATTGGGCAGCTGCAGAAACACAGGCAATAGAAACACAAAGCACCAAGGACGGACATGGAAATTAGGCCAGATGAGTTTAGCTCAAAATACATAAAAACTGGAGACTGTTCAGAGCAAAAACTGGTGCTCTAAAATAGCCCTAAAACTGGTGCTCTAAAATAGCCCTAAAACTGGTGCAAGCAGAAGAGGATATTTTCTACGGCGCCTCATAGCAGTGCAGGTCAGGAATGGTGCCAGCAGCAGAATTGCATCAATAGAACTAATACCTCACTGAGCCCAGCTTGCTGCCTTTGGTGATTAAAGGATAGCTTTAACAATGCTCTATCTGTTCTTTGTAAGTGAGATCATTCCAATTATGCCTTTCCCCTTAGGATCCTTAGCAAAAACTACAAAAAGAGACTGGAGTCAGAGAAACAAAAAGCTAACCTTCAACAGTTTGCCAACCTAAAATGAAAGGGAACAGAGTTCTGTAAAGTGTGTCTGTGCTGTCCAACAACCATTGAGCCTTATTGCAAGAAATCCACAATGCTGAAGCAATTAATGGGAAGAGTTTTAAGGAGTAAAAATGTGAACTAATGACAGGAGGATGAAAAAGCATGGGTGTGGATCGGGGCTGGTGAATGGGTGGAAAAAGAAGCAAGGGACTTGGGCTGCTTTGCTATCTACAGATTTGTTTTGGTGTTGCTTTCCCATCAGCTGGTGTGTAAGGAGGACTGTGTTTTACACAACTTTCACATAGGCTAGGAATAAACATCACCTTTTGGAGGTCAGAACATATATATTTTCCAGTTTAATGAAGCTTTTTGTTAATTGCTACAGATACTAAAGGCTCGGTGGTTAAGATGCAGAAAGCCCCTAGGCCAGTCAGTGCTGTGAAACTCACCACATCAGTTACTGGCAGAGACCCCAACTGACTGATTTGTTTATGGTTTTCCTTGGGCCAGGGTCAAAGACACCATCCTGACAAACAGCATCAACACCTAAATTCTCTCTTCCAAACTTGAAATGGAAATCCACCGTGCATTGTCAGGTAAGGACTCAATGCTCCAGCAACTTTTCCTTATCAGGTCAGAGGAGAGGCCTGAAGTCAGGTTCTTCTGCCCAAAACCAGATGAGATGGGTTAAACAGCTCCAGACTCTGAAAACTCCCTGGCTGAGATCCTGCTGTTGATCATCAGACATGGTTAAAGGACATAAACCATACAGAGGTCTCAGTTACATCACTGGTTTCTCAGAAGCCCTGTCCAGCTCCCTGCTCCCAGTCCAGCAYTGGGAGCACTGCCCACCCTCCAGGTGTGGCACAGCACATCCCACTCCCTTTGTGCTGRGTCCACATATTCAGTTTCTCATTTTCTACATTCTCATCTTTTTTTTTATTTATTTTTTTTTTCCAGACAGCACAGAAGAGGATGAAGAAATCCCAACGAAAAATCCATTTAAAGTCCCATCAGATAAGGAACTTTTCTCAATGAGGGATAAGGAAATAAAAAAGGCACAGGCAGTATGTACATATGCTTTAGGCTAATGTATACAATGAGCTGTTTCTAAGGCAGGCACCCAACCAACAGAATATGAAAATTTAGTGCATGAGAGATCAAAAGACCACTTCATGAGAAAGCTCAGAGTGTTCAGCCTGGAGAAGATAATGCTCCAGGGAGACCTGACTGTAACCTTTCAGTACTTAAGGGGTGCTTATAAAAAAAACAGGGCAAATTTTTATGCAAACATATAGTGATAGAACAAGAGGGGATGGCTTTAAACTAAAAGAGGAGAGATTTAGATTAGATGTTAGGAAGAAATTCTTTACTATGAGGGTGGTGAGGCACTGGAACTGGTGGCTCAAGGAAGCTGTGGATGCCCCATCCCTGGAAGTGTTCAAGGCCAGGCTGGATGAGGCTTTGAGCAATCTGGTCTAGTGGGGGTGTCCCTATTCATGGTAGGGGGTTGGAACTAAATGATCCCTAAGGTCCAACCCAAACCTGTCTGTAATTGTGTGATCTCTGAGAGCTCTGGTTGTTGTACAGGGTTKCACAGCCTGGCATAGTGTGGAAGGAAGCAAGAGGTTTTAGGCAAGGCCTCCTCACCACCCACTGGTGACTGGTTTTTGCTTGGGTTGAAGGTCATTATACAATTATAGGGAAGAGCTCAGGAAGCTGTGCACTGAGGATGTCTTCTGAGTGATGTCCTCAGCATAAACCATGCCCAAACTGTGCAGACAGCACTGAATTACACTTCAGTCCATGTGAAAGCACTGAGCAGGAACACCTTTTACCCCCCAGAAGACTCTGGAATGGGTTTGAATAGATCCTCCCAGTCTAAAGTTGATGGTTTACATGTCTTTGTGAAAGCTGGACTGACTCAGTTAAGTGTGGGCAGTCCTGTTGTTCCCTTTTTCTTGGGGATTCAAAGGAAGAATCTCAGAAAATTTCCATTTGCTCACAGGAATAACCCAGGAAGGAAAAATGAGGACACTGAGTGGGTACAAACTGGCACAGCTGGTGGATGGATGCAGAATACAAATCAACAAACTAATGAGAACAAGTGCTAAGAAATTTAGTGTCTCAGTTGCCTCAAGAGAGAATATTATTTGGATTAGTCAGATAAACCAGGCAAACATGCATCAGCAGGGTACCAAAACTCTGCAGATTTCTAGGCTGTCAATAACTTACTCATGTCTTTAGAAACCACAGCAAACAAAGCTCACAATCAATTTGTCCACGTATCTGACTTCTCACAGGAACGTGAAAAGAGGAAGGCCATGAAAGTCCATGAGAAAACTACTTACTCCACTAAAATTAAGGCAAAAAGTGGGTTGAGGAGAGCTTTGAAAAAGGAGGAAGAAGAGGAAGGCAGAAGAGAGCCAACATGTGAAGAGAGACTGAAAGTTCTTCAGGAGTTGCTTTCAAAGAAGTTAGCCATGAAAAAAGGTGGAGAACAGTCACTATCTTTGCAGTGATGCTGCTCATCTGGGTAACAGCCCAAAGCAGGGGCCAAAGAGGGGATGGGAGGAGCAGCTGGCCCTGGCTGACTCTGGTGAGGTCATGCAGACAGAGTTCTGTGCTGTGTCGTGCCACCCCCTGTGTGGCTGAGCCATGTCCATGCATTCACACAGAGCAGGGGCCACCCCCTCCCTGCAGCCTGGGCTGCACCAGCCTTGGAGCTGCTGGAGCTCTCAGAACCACCTGGGAGCCTGCTGAGGGTTTGCAGGGCTTTGTGGCTTGGAAACCTTTCTACTAAGCCACRCTGAAGTTGGATTTTAGTGGATACAGGCCTGGATCTTCTGCCTCTGACATGAGGAGTAGATTTGCCATTAATATSGAGATGACAAGGAAAGGTTCTCCACTCCATTCCACCTGATTTTACTCCATGAAAACCCATACAAAACTGATCCTAAACAAGGTTCTGACTGTAATACAATAATCAGTATTGCTGACTCCAGTGCCAGCCAGACCCATGCTCATGGCAGCCCACAAATTCACTGTGTTTTGCCTTGGCCATATTTCCCCCTCTCTAGTCTAAGCAACTTTCTATTCTGATTTCAGATTACGCATTAGACAGGGAGACTTTCTACGGCTACATGCAGGACAGAAAAGAGATTTTTTTTCTTGAGGTACTTAGCTTTTAGCATGTTACTTTCTATTCATTTAATTCCTCTTCCCTGTGCTGCTTTGTTTTGATGTTCATTCCCCTGGGACCCACTGCCCAGAGACCTTTCAAGGTGGCACACACCACACCTCATGGACTGACTGTCCAGGTGCAGAGTTACAGACCCTCAGAGCCTGCAGCCCAGCAATCCCCAGCCAAGAAATAAAGGAATGTAGGTCAGTCCCATAATTCAGCAGCCACCATGCAACTATTCCATTTATGAGATGCATGGATGCACTGACCTTTGGCTCATGTTGTCCTCTATATAAATTGTAGCTGGGAGCCATTCTGAACTCAAAACAAGGGAATGGAGTAACTGWGCAGGAACATCCCCATTAGTCACCTCTATTATTGGCTGTAACACAGCTGAATCAATCTCTGTCAGACAGGAGTYAATGCAGTGCTGAGAATTTTGGATTCTGTTTTTAGATTCATTGCTTACTTGCTATGTTCCTTCTGAAATTACTCCTGGCTTGCCCTAAGACACACACCTTGGTTTGAAATCCTTACCCTCTCTGCCCACAGCTCTCAGGTAACAGGGCAGCCAAGCACAAAGCCAAACCAATGATCCTTTAAAGCCGAGCAACTGATGTGACTKTGCTGCCTTTGGGGTTCATTTCAGTATGCCATCGCAGTGAAGAAAGGGGAGATTGAAAAGATGGAGAACATAGCAAAGAACGAGGAAAAAAAACTGGAAAAGGCTGAGAGAAGGATGGAGAAGGATGCTGCCCTGTTTGATGAGTTCCTGAAGGAGAACCATAATAACTCTGTTGAAGCACTGAGAATGTAAGGAATGCTGAAGGAAACACCCGTGTGCTGTTTCATTCTGGGCACAGGAGATTTTCTGCTTGACCTCCCTGCATGTTTTTGGCTGAACACCCTGAGTTTCCCAGAGTTACAGTTCTGGGGACACTTCCTTCCCACACATTTAGTTACAAACAGGAAGGAGAACAACAKCCAGGGAATACCCTCATTGCAAAARCCCTTGATCTGGRGGCAGGAAGGACCCTGCTGGTGACCTCMCCACTCCCAACAGCTCAAAGCACCCTTCCTGGAGGGAGATGCCTCCACCCAACCCTTCACAGTCCCCTCAGTGAAGCAAATGGAGCACTTTGGCCCATTGCAGGGATCACAAAAACAGAGCAACAGCTGATGCTCAGCAGCAGCCAAATTAGGGAGGCCTGAACACTGAGATGCCACACTTTGCCAAGAGAAGGAGGGTCTTCAGGCAGGAGCCAAGCATCTCCTGGGATAGATCTATAGCACAGATTTCTAGAGCTCATATCACATATTTTTTGCTGTTTCATAGGCACCTCTGTTCACTAATCACCACTAAATTGTATAATGGCTTGTGTTTATGAATCCTTTCCTAGGGCCAAAAGAGAAACCTCAGCAAAGGCAAAGAAAATAACAGAGATCCAGGGAATCTCTACCCAAATAAAGAAAATCCAAAGGTAAGGTTGCTCATTACTCCTGCCTCACCTTTGACAGCCCCTACAGTGCTGTACCTTCAAAGTCCTTGCAGGGRATAGATTTCTAGAAATGTTCAATTTTAAGAGTCAAAATGTTTTGGCTTTTGTTTTGCAGATGCTGGCTTTGTTTCTAAAACAACGCAACTAGTTTTCTAATGACATTTAAAAATAATGTCATATTATTTAAAAATAAGTATGAACATTCCAAGCCCAAAATTAAATGCCTAACATCAAATTAAAATCCAAACAAAACTAAGTAATGCATTTTAATGGGCACCTAGGGAAAGACAAAAGAAATAACTATGATTACCATTATGAGTTGAGCTGGAAAAATTTCTAAYTCCTTTTCAAGTAAAAATTCCAAAATTAGCAAGTTCAGTGCCATAGCAAGGGCCTGGCCAGAGTTATGACCACATGAGGAACCACAGAGAGCGCAGAGGGCAGTTCCCATTTGCCTTTGCAGATCCATGAAACCTGGTGCTCTCTCTCCCCTTCTCTGGGTGAAACYCAATATCAAGAGTGAGAAAGAACCTGTTCAGACAGGAGCTTCCCTCCCTGCTAACAAACTTTGTCCACYTCTCTCAACCCAGTGATATCTCCTGGTTCGAGGACACTCTGCAAGAGTACAAAATGTACAGGGACATCCTCTATCAGCTATCTCCGAAAGAGTGGCAGGAGAAACATGGGAAAAGGCACAAAAAAGAAAAGGAAATTAAAAGAGAATCCAGACTTAAAGGAGGAAATGCTTCACCTCCCCCTGGTGCAGAGCAGGGTGAGTGCCAGGAAAGTGCTGCTGCTGCTCCCTGGGACAGCCCCAGGCTCTAAGTGGTCACCTCCTCTTGTCTCCAGACCAGGATCCCACAGCCAGGACMAACACTGCCCACAGCACCAGTTTTACAGACATGCCAAGTTCCCTGCTGTTYGCAGAAAGTTTGGATTTCAGGTCACATGATGACAAGCCACAGCTCAAACACTTCCTGAAGCCTCTTTTATCAAGAGAACTGTAAGTACCAGACAATGCAAACAACACTCTTAAGAAGTGTAGAGAGCACTCAGCTGACTGGCAGTCAGCACAGGGGAATCCCRCTGCTCACCTTTGCTGGGGCTGATTGGAACAAACCAAAATGCCAGCAGAAAGCTGTCAAAATGCCAGTACCGATGTGCCTGCTCCTAGTGAGCTCTGTGCTCAAATCCTCTGCTGAGACCCTGCTCGGGTGGGGCTGGCACTGAGACAATGCAAACAGAGGRTTTTGACCCCTTTCATGGCCCAGGGTGACAGGCACAAGTGAAGGTGATGAGCAGAGCAGCCAGGCACTGCTTCCCCCTTTTCCAGCTCTCGCAGAGGAAGAAGCATTAAACAACTTTCTCCCAGGGCAGGCAAAACCAGACTCCCCATGGTGGCTACACCATRTTTAGGAGCTGTACTACATCTCAGAAAGGGTACAAGGCTTTTTCTATACTTGTGCTGCTGCTGTCTGAGCTTTTTGAGTAAGGCTCTTGCCTCTGCCTTCTCATTTTCCAACAGCCAAAGCCTCCCAGCRAGTTTAAAGGCATTTGGATCGACACCTCAGTTCAGGTTCACGTGTCACATCCCACCTGCACTGGCCAGCACAGCCCAGAGCAGCATTAAAGCAGCTTGCTCATGGACAAAAGCAGCTGCTGTGCTGCCTGTTTGTGTGACCCCTCGATCCTAATGACCCCCAAATACCCCACAGCCTCAGGGAGGCAAAGGTGGGAGCGTGCAAAGACTCTTCAGGAGYAAACAGCAACAGCAAACAATAACAATGTCACTAACGAGGTCTCCTTTGAGCTGTCATTTCTCTAAGGGCCTAATAAACAAAATGCTTTTCCAGAAATTCGCGTGAGGATGCAGAAGGTGAAATCAGCTCAGATGAAGATGAGGTCAGAAGTCTTACGTTGAAATATTTGCATTTTCTGTTTGTCCTGCATCATTTACCAATGTTACTAATTTCCCTCACCTTCTAATCATTAGTTACGGTATTGAGGAGTTACTGTAGTTACAAATTATAAATGTATATTTATAAATTAATAAATGTTCATGTTTTGGTAACAAATATTATAAATACCTTAGTTTAACTTTTCTCCRTCATTTTCCAAAAACCTACCATCATCTCTAAGCTTGCCATCCTCCAGTGAGATATAACATCATATAATGGAAGATTTTTTAATTAGAGCAATTACTGGTTTATGTCTGATATTGAAGTTTTCCCACTCTCAGATGTTTGCAACACTTTTTACCCCCCCAAATGCAATTTGTTTTAGGGGTGWGCTACTGAGGCAGAGTAAAGCTACACACATGGCAGGAAGGTGGGGATGTTTGTGCACAGACAAACATGGACCTCTCTAGATGGAGGAGTGTTTGAACAGCCAGGGCTGGTGCAGGCCAACCTCCACGTAATTCACTGGGAAAGAAGCTGAAGGAGGGAAAAAACTCACCAAATGTGTTTTCCACTCCAGGAGCCTAAGCTGTATTTTACTGATCCTGAACAACTGCTGAGTACTTTCACGGAGATGCAGGATGAGAACATATCCTTCATCCAGAACTCCCAGGACATAGAGGAAAGTTGGAACAATATCCAACAGACTTTCCTCACCACCCATGAAAGCATGTAAGTGTGATCTGCCAGTGATGGGAAGGGGTTCCTGTGCTCCACCTTTCAGACATAAGTGACCCCTCTGCCCCCCACAAACACCTCACAATCAGGCACACACTGCAGAGCACACTAGGCCTTTCTGGTGAACTCCTAGGAAAGTGTCTCATCTGTGCTTTATCTAGGAAATAAGACTTGATCTTGGGACTAATTCCTGCATCCTCAAGGCAAAGGCTAGGGRACTGATGCATTAAGCATCCTGGAGTGGATATAAGACAGAAGTATTGTGTAATTCACATTAAGGAAGGCCAAAGGAAGAAACAAGGCAGTTCCTGGAGTGATCCAGAGMAGCACCTATGCTGACTTCATTCAAAACTTTCCTAGAGAAAGCTTGTAATTTACCCAAGTAAATTACGTTGTAAAATAGAAGTAAATTACCCATTGTAAATACCCAATTGTCATTGTAATTTCAATGACAGGTATTTCCATTTAACGTGCAGCTTATCTCCTTGTGGAAGTTTTAAAGGTAATCAAAATCCTCCACTGACCTGTTAAAAAATTTTGAATGGTTAACTATTCTACTTCTCCCTTCTCCACACCAGCTTAGTAACTTTTTCCAGAAAAAAAAAACCCGAAGTTCCCTGTGCTCTCGGGGCTACGGGTGCAAGATGCCAGGAAAGGCTGAAGTGTTACCTCCATCTGCCGGCAGCAGCAGGGACCAGCCCACGCTGCGGAGAGCGGAGCCGGCTGTTCCAGCGGTGCCCTTTCCAAATCCCTCCTCTCTCTCTCCTCTCTCCTCTAGGGAGAAGGAATCGGCAGAGCTGAAGCACGAGGTGAACACCCTCCGAGCCTCCGTGGTCAAGGAAGAAGAGAAAGCAGCCGATCTGAAGCGCAAAGTTCAGCTCTTTTCCTGTGAAGCACACGAAGCTGATGATCAGGTGCACATGAGATCCAGACAAGAGGGGTTCACATGAGCTCGAGWGATTCCCCTCCAGCAGCCACATCCACCCTGGGACCAGAGCAGACAGGGGCTGCACTGGGGAGGGCTCAGCACTGTTTCCAAGCCATGGAGGCACAGAAAGGGCGGTTTGGGGCACTGCTGAGGCAGCAAATTGGGGCAGCTGCTGCGGGGTGGGAGCAGGGCTCACAGGGACAACGGGCACCTGCTGCCTGTCCCAGGTCACAGAGCAACAGGAGAATGGCTCAATACAGCCATGTGCCCCTGAACAACCGAGTCTTGCTGAGTGCATTTCCTTTATAGATTTCCTTCAGTTTTGGAGGGATATTATGGTTCTAGTTGGCAGAACACAGCTGGGCCACTCACCTCATCTCCTGTCGCCTCTAGGACAAAATGCTCACAAGTCTGAACAAGAAGGTGCTGGAAGTCTATGGCCAGTGCACTGGAGACAGTGAGACAAACCTGACAACAGTACAGATGTTAAAGGTAATAGAGAAACGGCTCAATGATTTACTGGACAGCGTGGAGGGAGTCCCACCATTAAAGATAGAAAACACTGTGAAAGTCATAAGGAAGGAACAGAGGGCAAGGTAAGGCAAGACCCTCTTCCAGAAAATGTCTCTATTTTTAAGTGTTGACAGCCGAAAGAGCCAAATCAACCCAAAAAAAACTGTAGCAGCAATCTGAAATCCCATGTGAGCAATCCATGCCCTTTTACTTCTGTAAGAGTTCTACATTCATAGAACTTGCATCTCCTGGTCAGTGAACAGCAACCCACAGCTACATTGGAAAACACCTGCAACCTACATTAGAAAAATCTAGAATAAAAAAGAAAATACTAAACCCACAAACAAAAATATTCTATTGAGTGTCATTGTCTTAAGAAAACAATTTGCCGTAACAAAATCWAAACTGAATAGAAAGTTACACCTCAAGATAACACATTCATTCTGCCCTGCCCTGATATTTTGTCAGACTTTCATGCATACATAAGGGCATTTGTCAACAATGCCAGCTTTGAAATGTTTCTTCTACAAAACTTCTAAGTTTAACTTGAATTACTTCATTAAATAGTAGCAATTACACAGTGTAAATCCCAAGATCTCCTTTAGGCTCTGTTACATTAAATTTGCCCTCACAAATAGCAAAGATAACTGAACTGATGACTGTATATGGCCATCCTCAAGTGAATCAGATTACTGTGAGGATTTAAAGCCAGAACAGTGGMATTACCCTTCTGCTTACTCTCTTTCTCTGCATCTTTATTCAGCTGTGCAGTAGAAAAGGTGTGGTGCTGATGTTCTGTGAATGGGTTTGCACTCCTAAGTTGCAAAATAAGTAAGACACACATTTATTCTACTTTGGGGATGGAGAAGGACAATTC